CGACGATGCATTTTTTCACAATTTCTACACCACTCAGTGGCTTCCCTTTTTCCCCGAGTATATAAGCTACTTTATAAGTTGCTTTAGCGGCATTATTTCCAAGTCCTATTGCTGCTTGAAAGAACTGTCTTTGCTTTTCATCTTTTAATTTTTACAATACAAACTTTCATGCCTCTCCCTCTAGTTTAAAATAGTTGTGGTACTTCCAAGTGTTATAATGCTGATGAGCATTGAATTTCTTTAATGTTGGTATTGCAGTAAATCATTCACATCTAGTTTTTTGTACATTTTCTTTCTTTTCTTTTCTTTTCTTTTTTTTTTTCCTGAGACAGGGTCTCAGTCTGTCACCCAGGCTAAAGTGCAATCATAACTCACTGCTGCCTTGAACTCCTGGGCTCAAGCAATCCTCCTGCCTCTTGGGACTGCAAGCACGTGCCACCATGCTTGGCTGTATTTTTTTTTAGGTTTTGTAGGGATGGGGTCTCACGATGTTGTCCAGGCTCATCTGAACGCCTGGCCTCAAGGGATTCTACTGCCTTGGCTTCCCAAAGTGCTAGGATTACAGGCATGAACCACTGCACCTGGCCAGTTTCTGGCACATTTTCATTCCCGTTAGGTAAACACAGGGGTGGGATTGGCGAGTTGGATGGTAAGTTTATGTTTAACTTTATAAGAGTCTGCCAAACTCTGTTCCAAATGGCTGCACCTCTTTACGTTCTCACCAGCAGTGTGAGGTTCTAGTTAGTCTGTATCCTAACTGGCATTTGGCATGGTCAGTCTTTTTAGCCATCCCACTGGATGTGGAGCGGTATCTCATTGTGGTTTTAATTTGGGTTTCCCTAGTGGCTAATGATGCTCAACATCCTTTATGTGCTAATTTGCCTTTCATAAGTTTCCTTTGATGAAATGTCTATGCACATATTTTGCTATGTTTTTTTCTTTTTAGGTGAGGAGAACTGTTTGCTTTCTTCTTATTGCCATTTTTTTCAGAGACGGGATCTTGCTCTGTTGCCTGGGCTGGAGTGCAGTGGCATGATCACCGCTCACTGCAGCCTAGATCTCCTGGGCTCAAGTGATCCTCCTGCCTCTGCCTGCCGAGTAGCTGGGACTACGCGGGCGTGCCACCCAAGCCCAGCTGTGCTTTCTTATTATTGAGTTTTGAGAGTTCCTTATATATTCTGGCTACAAGTCCTTTATCAGATAGATCTTTTGCAAAGATTGTCTGCCGGTCTGTGGCTTGTCGTTTCCATTTCTTAAGCATGACTTTAGCAGAGCAGAAGTATTCAATTTTGATGACATCCTATTTATCATTTTTTTTCTTTTACAGTCAGAGCTTTAACACCTAAAAACAGCTTTGCCTAATCCCAAGTCACAAAGATTTTCTCCCATGTTTTCCTCTAGATTTTCATGTTACAGTTTGGCTCGTGATTCTGAGTGAGTGTTGCGATCAGGTGCAAGGTGTATGGGTTCATTCCTTTTGCACACAGATGTCCAATTATTCCAGCATCATTTGTCGAATATTTGCAATTATTACTGGCACTACTGGTACCCCCAGGGCTCCTGGAGGCAGGGAGGGTAAGGGGACTCCTGGCCCACCCTGCAGTGGAGTCACCTGCCCCAGACCGCCCTCACACCACCGGCTGGGGCCTGCTGCAGTTCTTTGCTGGCAGAAGACTTTGTTTCTGGCTTCTTACCTCTTCTCTCTCTTCCTGAAATCTCCTGTGTAAAACAAACCATGAAAGGGCAGGGGTAGCCTCGCGGTCTGGCAACGTCCCTTTGAAAATAAACAAGTGCAGAAACTGAAAGGCAGCAGCCACCTCTGGGGACTACTCGGGAGAGAGTTCAGGGCCGGTGCATCCGCTGCGCGTGGCTCTCCGGCCCCGGCCGGCAGCAGGACGGATGTGGCAAAGCCAAACAGGATCCCGATTGCTTCAAATGTCACCTCTGGCCAGAGAGCCCCCTGACACCTTTGCAGTGAGCACCTAATCATGTACCTGGGGGGTGGCTGGAAGAGTTTCATGGCTGAACAGCGCTCGACAGTTTGCACAGCCTTCCTCACATGTCCTCCTCATCTTCTCCATCCCCACACAACCCTGCGAGGCGGGCAGGGTAGGGACCGTTGGCCCCGTCTTACAGGTAGGGCAACTGAGGAAGAGGAGGGTGAAGAAATAGATGGGAGCAGGGTTGGGATTTGGGGAATAGCTTTATTTATCTATTTTTTGAGACAGAGTCTCATTCTGTTGTCCAGGCTAGAGTGCTGTGGCATCATCATAGCTCACAGCAACCTCAAACTCCTGGGCTCAAGTGATCCTCCTGCCTGAGCCTCCCGAGTAGCTGGGACTACAGGCATGCGCCACCATGCCCGGCTAACTTTTTTCTATTTTTAGTAGAGATGGGGTCTTGCTCTTGCTCAGGCTGGTCTCGAACTCCTGACCTCAAGTGATCCTCCCGCCTCAGCCTCCCAGAGTGTTAGGATTACAGGTGTGAGCCACCGCGCCTGGCCAGGAACAGCTTTATTGAGGTCTAATTTACACCGCCTTAAGTGCACCCACCTTAGGTGTACAATTCCATGAGTTTTAGTAAGTTTCACACAACCATTCCGTTTTTCACTTTCAGTACCGTATTCAATAAATTACATGAGATTTTCAACGCTTCGGTATAAAATAGACTTTATGTTAGAGGATTTTGCCCAACTGTAGGCTAATGTGAATGTTCTGAGCACATTTAAGGTAGGCTGGGCTGAGCTGTGATGTTCAATAGGTTAGGTGTATAAAAATGCATCTTCAACTTAGGAAATGCATTTTCAATTTATGGGTTTATTGGGACGTAACCCCATGGAAAGTCAAGGAGCATCTGTACTTTGCTGTTGTGTGGTGAGAGCAGCAAGGGACAATATGTAAATGAATGAATGTGGCTGTGTTCCGATAAAACTTTATTTACAAAAACGGGGGTGGATTAGATCTGCTGACCCCTGGTCTAGTGGAAGACAGGCTGGGTTCCAAAGCCTCCTTCCGAGCAGGACCCTGCTCAGTTGCTGTCACTTCTCTGGCCTGAGCTATCCTGTCTACAATGGGGAGGCTGATTCCCTGCTCTAAACCACTGTTCGGGTTTCAGGGAGGTCAAATGAGCTCAGCAGGGAGGGAGCCCTGAGGGAGAAGACGGCAGGATTAAGAGCCTCTTGAGGTTCTCTGATGCAAAGCAGATTGTTTTTTCTGCCTAAGTCTGGCCCTAAATCACCCAGTGCACCCAGGAGCACAGTGCCCCAGGGGTACCCCAGAGGGAGAAGGGCACAGCCTGAGCAGAAGTCCATCTGGAAATAGGCAGAGGGGGCCTGAGCAAAGGGCAGAGGTTAGATGACACATCCCTGCCCCAGGCACTGCTGCTTAGGGAGCTTGGGGGCAGGGCTCTCGGAATAGCCTGTTACAGACTCATTTCCAGTCTCTCTCACTGCTGTTCCCTCTCCACAGGTGTAGGGGGAAGGCCTCCGGGAGGTGAGGACCAGGACCTGGTACCCAGCCTGTGGGCCATTCCCTGGACCTGAGCGTTCTCTGCCTAACCACCTGTCCCCACCCCACCCGCCCGCGGTGCCCAGGACTTTCCCATCATCTGGGGGCACACAGGCCCTCTGGCCAACTGCTGGCCTCCTGCTTGGCCTATTGTCCTGGGTCCCGGTTCCCTGGTGGCCTTGCCCCTATCTCTGGTCTGGTCTTTTCCACCCCACGCTGTGCATCGGCAGCACATCCTCAGTCCTGCAGAGCTCGGAAACCTCCAGCCACCCCTTTGTGTCATCAAGGAAGAACGAGCTGCTTAGCCCTGTGCCTGGGGTTCCTCCACCATCCTAGAAGCTTCCCTGCCCCCACTGTCAAGATGTCGGTATCCCCTAATTCCACACTGTGTTGGGCATCTTTCTTGGTGCCCTGGGGCTCACTTACCTGTCTGGAGGGAAAGGGTCAAGTTTGAGTCTTTGCTGCCCAGGGCCCCGCACACAGGTGGTGCTCAGTGCGTGCCCCAAAGCCTACGTTCCCAGCTCCATGCACGGCTGCTGCTTAAAGGGAGACGGGGGGAAAGTTGGCTCCACAGAGAGAGGCAGAAGCCCAGAGAGAGACACAGAGAAAGTTAAAGGAATGACCAAGAGGAAGAGACCAAAGGGCGTGGAGACGAGAGCCTCAGAGAGACGAGGAAGGGACGCGGGCCCAGACAGCGCGCGGCGCAGACACCGGGCAGGACAGCACGGGAGAGCGGGACGTGTGCCAGCTGAGGCACTTCTTCTGTTAAGCAAACAAGGCGCCCGTGATTTGTGTTTTGTCAAGCTGAACTTTCCGTATCTGGAGTTTATTTAGCTGAGCAACCAATTCTGGTAAAAACACTGGAACATGTTTAAAAGGGGCGGGGCAGAGTTAGACAACACAAAAAGAGAACATTTGCCTCCAGGTCGGCCACGAGGGAGGACTCCGCCCACCCCCTTGGGCGCTGACCCAGGGCTGGGTGAGACCAGACAGGGGAGGGGCATCAGCTGAGAGGGAGAGGCCCCGGGGAGGCTCTGGTTCCAGCCTGACCAGGTCACTACAGGCCAAGTTAAGAGAGGTCAAGACAAGGTTGCAATCCACCTGTGCACTGACCCTTCAGAGTCCTTACGGGCCACAGGCCAGAGTCCCCCAGTGTTGGGGAAGCCACAAACTGGTATCCTTGCTGGAACCCAGGCCTAGGGGACAGGAGGGGAGTAGGTATAGCTTTTAAACCAGGAACAGCCCTGCTGTTTCCTCACCAACACCTGCTCACAGAAAGGAGTGTCTAGTGGCTTGCATGGTACCCAGCTGGTGCTCAATAATGATAGCTGTCACGACTGTGGAAAGCAGCAGTCGCTGTGTGCAAGGAGCTCGCCGAGTCCTGTGCAGCCAGGGTGACACGGCCGTGTAGGAGGCCAGAGCGCCCGGAGAGGGGCATTCCCACCCTCAGTCTGACCTTCCTCTTTCTCATTAGGTGACAAAACCACAAGGTAGTCATGATTTGAACTTTTTTTTTATTTTCTGAAATGGAACCATTGTACATTGTACAAACCATATCTACTGATGGAATAAATAAGTGAAAAATTATACTGCTGTACAACACACCCAAAAAAAAAAAAAAGATTGTAAGAGGAAAAAAAAAATTAGGTAACGGTGAAAAAAGGTCTTTATGCCTCTAACCAGGTCCTCGGCGATAATGAACATTCCAAACCATGACACCGTTTGATAATGGGAGGTCACCACCCTACATGAATCGGTCAACAGCCTTCCGGGTTGTGGGTGTAAGTGCCAGCACTTTGTGGAATGTGTAGCCGCAGCTTCCACGACTTCAAGTTTTGGGGGGAATCAAGTTTGCCCTGGGAGCCCTTTAGGCCACGGGCCTGATGTCCGCGGAAGGCTTTTGCCTAGGACCCCCACCCCGGGCTGGCGGCCGAAAGGTCTTAGATTCTGTGGTGGGGGAAGGCGAGGGGTGCAGGGTGGGGGGCAGCGGCTCCGAGGAGCAGACCGCGCCGGGGAAGGAAGCACATCGGATTTTTGCAGTCTCATCGTTCCGCGTGGAAGGCCCTCGTGGCCAGCGTGGAGTGCAGGGCTGCTGGCGCTTTGCCTGGCGTGGCCGTGGCCGGGCCCGGGTGGTCCCAGCCACTGGCCCATTCCCACCTTCAGGCACTTCAGAGAAAAACTAGTGACAGCCTCGGTACTGTGGACGTCTCTGCCGTCTTCATCCTCAACCGCGCCAACTCCCCTTGCCTGTCCAGAGAGGCCGCCGCACACAGAAGAGACGCGGTGGCCCTCGCCCCTCCGTGTCCGTGGGTGCGTGTGTCTCATTCTCCTTCAGCTGTCTTGGTTGTAACCTCTCGTTTCCAAAAAAGAAAAGGACGTAAGTATCCAAATTCATCTTCCATCAAAATGGAGATTCGCTGCAAAGAAAAACGTTACTGTAACTCTACAGGGTCTGGAGGTAAAGCCGCCGGGAGACGCGCTGAGAGGGACGCATCTGGTTGCTTTTGCACAGACGCAGAACACAGTTCTCGACAAAACTGACTGCCTGAGGGGCAAAACTGGTTAAGTACAGGATTTTTTTTTTTTTTTTTTAAGACAGAAACCTTTCGGCATTGCTAACTTCAACATTTAAGATTTTGCAGTTTTTTTCTTTCCCTTATTTCAGGAGACATTTTGCATGAGGTATTTGAAATTCAGGAACATTTTGATTCTTCTTGAAGTGCAGGAAGTAGACAGGCTCCCTTTAAAAAAAAAAAAGTAAGAGCCTCACCCTCAGAAACTCTTAGAAAATGGAATCTGGCAGACGCTTTCCATGGTGGTCAGGAGAAAGATCCACACGTCAAAGGTGGTACCTGAATATGCACCAATTAGCCAAACAAAAAAACAAAAAAACACAACAAAACCCGCAATCCCCCCACCCCCATAACACACAACTCAAAGGGAGTTAGAACTCCAGTGCAGTAAAGAAAGCTCAGGAAAAGGTTTAAGGTCTGAGGAGTCTGTACGTTAAGAGCAAACCAGGCCTCAGAACCAAACGATTAGGCAGCTCGTCCAAGGGGGCATCTGGGCTGAGTGAGAGGACGTGGTCCCAGCGCAGGCGGGGACGGAGGGCGATTCCGTCTCTCCTTTCGGAAGGATGTGCAAATCTTCCTAACTCCTGGGCGCCTTGTTTCTGGCCTTCGACGCCCAACCATCACGGCCTGCTCCCCCGTGGGGACCGAAATAGCACGTTCCGCGAAGGAGACACGATCGGACTGTTGGCTCTGAGAGTCAGAACGTCACGCAGAAGCGAGTGGATTGTGACCGGCTGCAATCCTGCCTCTCCAGGGCACGGGCCAGGGTGCGGGGGAGGCAGAGGGAAGCAGGTTACCGTGGATTTGAAATCCAAGCAACGTCCTATGAGAGAGAGTTCAGCACCAGCGACTCCTGCTGCCTGCTCCCAGCCTCCCCGGCCCCACAAGCCTTGCAGTCAGCCAGAGAAGCCGTTTCATCCTCGGAGGTCTGGAACAAACCGGGGGTGGGGGTGGGGGTGGGGGCAACAGAGTGCAAGTGCCAGAAAAATCTAAGGGCTTTGCATGTCCATCTGGGCCACTGTGGGCTTGAGAACACCCAGCCTCAAAGGCCCTGAGGAAGTGAGAGCATACTGAGTGCCCGGTCTGGACTGAGGCCAGCCCTTGGGGACCATGCCCCACACCTGCGACTCCTCGGGCCCTGGAGGCCGGTGCGGACCCCACCCAGGGCTCAAGGGGGGGCCGGAGCCCCCTGCACCTGGAAATCAGGTGGGCTGAGGAGCTCCCCGCTCCGCCCTGCCTGCCCTGATAAAGTCCTAGGGCACGGAGGAGAGAGGTGAGCGCGGTGGCAGCTGCCGCCCCAACGAACCAAGAGGGCACTTTGCAAAGGAAGATGCAAAACAACCAGGAAACATGCCAGAGGTCACCTCAAGGGCACAAGGCACAAAAACAGAAAGCAGAAGGAATCGGTTGAACAGTGTGAAAAGCCCCGACGAAAAGCGAATTCCTGATCAGTACCACCCTCAAACAGCTTATATCGTTAAATAGAGAAGTGGAAAAAAAACACAGCAGCAACACAAACGTAATCTCGGCTTCCGAGACAGTGCGCAGACGCTCCCGGGCTGCCGACCCGCCTCCCCAAGGACAGTCGCTTAAAGGTTCGAGTGTTTCGCCTCACAGCAGAGTTCTTCAGTGTCTGAAAAGTTACGCCGTTCTAGGTTTTCTTGGATTTGCACTTGGTAAACTTGAAACGTTAGTAGTTCTGTTCGCACCCAAGAGGAGTCGCTCGGGCAAAGTTGTTCTAGAATTAATTGCTGATGTACCTTCCATGAAACATGGACTGGAGGATTCCACTTATTGTCTACATCTCTTCGGAGTTTTGTTGAGAGGCCTCCAGTTTCATCTTTTTAGAGGGCGGCACTCCTTCCAAATCCTTGGGGGAAGAAGGAAGAAGAGAGAAACCCGGGTTAATACGCCACGGGAGCGATTGGGCCGGACGGCCAAAGGTCAGCCCGGGGGGTTCAGACCGAGGCCCACGTACGGGCGTCAGGAGGTTCCCAGACCTAGGGAGACCATCACACTCAGACTCCTCCTGGAGCCCGTGGAGGCCCGTGTCGCCTGCTCCCTCCCAGCCCTGCCACAGGTGGACCACGTCCTCACCCAGGACTGTGGCCCACGCTCCCTGCGCCCGCCCAGACTGTTGTCAATCTTTCTATCCGTGATGAACCGCTAGGGTGGTTATTTGTGCACGAGTTTCAAGTTCACCTCCCAAGTTCCAAGGCCATCTCTCGAAGGCCCAGACTCACTTTGCCACGTCACAGACTCACTGGGGCACACCCTCAGCCTTTGCTGAATGTACATACGTATGTCACTCTGGGGGGAAAGGTCTATAGCTGTCACCAAATTCCCACAAGTTCCCATGACCCCAAAAAAGGTTCAACACCCACTTACTCACCTACCACCCAATCATCCCGGGCATCTCCAGCCTAACCTGAGACCCAATCCCGACTACAGCCACACATCAGCCTGGGAGAAAGCCCAGGCCCGGTGACACCCGGCAGCCCCCCGCCCCACCTGCACCCCCCCACCTATTAGCAAGTCCCCCCAAGCCCTCTCCTTGAGCCCAGCCCCCCCTCTGCACTGCCCAGTGCCCTGTCCACACCTGAGCCAACATCAGCCTGTTCTGTTTCTTCAGTCACCCTGTTCCACCCTCTCATAGCACTTGGGGTGACTCTGTGACCCGCCTGTGTCTGCTGTATCCCAGCCCTGTCCCAGAACCCCTGCCCACTGTTAGCCCCACGAGGGCAGGGCGGGACCCGGTGCAGCGCCCCATCTGAGGCAGGTGCCCAGTGCTAAACGTTAACAGAGGCCCCCAGGCCTGGATGTAGGACGTGGCGTGAGACTTACGGAGCAGGCGACACGAGCTCCTTCTGGGGGACCCTGGAAGCAGGAACCACGGGGAGTCAGGAAGGCCTTTCTTCCCTCTCTCCCCTTTTGCCTTATTTAAAAAGGGATATGAGCTCAACATAAGATGTAACAGGAGAAAGCGGGCCGCGGTGCCTTCCAGGGAAGGTGGATACCACGCAGGTGAAGGGCCTTTTGTTTTGCAGAGCACCTGGCCAAGGGGTGGCATAGGTGAGCTTGGGAGTGAAGCCCAGAGAGAGGGAGGACAGTCTGACCTTCTCAGGGCCACCCAGCAGGGAGGCAGATGGGAGGAGGGAAGGGAGGAGAGAGAAGTGCAAGATGGACCGAGGGGGTGGGGGGGCAGAGGCATCTTCCTGATGCTGGGGCGTGGGCAGCATGAAGAACATGTTTTCTTAAATGTCAGAGGTTTGCTTTGCTGGAATGCATCCTCCTCTTGCTCACACGCCTGACTCTGTGGGGCAGTGGGTGTGTCTGCGTGAGCAGGAAAATGGCAGAAGAGGTCTGGGTCCTCTGGAAACAGGAGCGGACACAGGGGGACACAGGAATAGGAAACCCCTGGCCTTTTCAAACATCAAGGGAGGGCACTGGCCGCTCTCCCAGGGTGTGGATCAAAGTGTCAAGCTGACCTTTTCTCCACTGAGCTCAAGGGACCGGGAGACCCCAGCCAACAACTTTGGTTCTGTTAGGTCATTAAATGTGAAATGTCCCATCTTGAATCAAGTGTTGTTTATTATATCTCAAATAAGAAGCAGTACAATTAATCAAAGTATGCACCTAAACTATCGACATAGTTTTGCCATCTTAGTGGTAGCTTGTTTATGTCAGCAGCAAAGAAGCCTGGAGAGTGAGTGGGGATGAAATCACAAAAAGTGTTTTCCACAGCTTGTTGAGAATTGAGTATTCTTCTTTGCAAGAAGTGGTCCAAAGCCCAGAAGAAGTGGTAGTCAGTTGGTACAAGGTCTGACGCGACTATGGTGGATGACAGAGAGTTTCCAAGTCCAGCGTCTGTAGTTTGAGCAGCGCTGTCTATGTGACATGTGGTTGAGCACTGTCTTGCAAGAGGATTGGCCTGTCTCTAATCGACCAATTTCAGCTGCTTCATCGCAGGCATCCTCATCATTTCATCCAATTGGCTGCAGTAGACATCCACTGTAATCGAATGACCAGGTTTCATGAAGCTGTAGTGGATGACTCTAGTGCTGGACCAATAAAAAGACACTATTAGCTTTTTTGGATGAATATTCAATTTTAGACTGTGTTTCAGCACTTCATCTTTATCCAACCATTGTGCTGAACGCTTGCGATTGTCAAAAAGGATCCATTTTTCATCACACGTAACAAAACGGTATAGAAATGGTTCAGCTTTATGTCATGACAGCAAAGAAAGGCAAGCTTTGAGATGATTTCTCTTCTGATGCTCATTTAATTCATGCGGAACCCATCTATCCAGCTTCTTTACCTTGCTGATTTGTTTCAAATGGTCCAATATTGTTGGAATAGTAACGTCAAATCTTGCTAATTTACACGTAGGTTGAGATGGATTCGCTTCCACTACAGCTTTCAGCTCATCATTATCCACCTTGGTCTCAGGTCACCCACATGGCTCATTTTCAAGATTAAAATCACCGGAACAGAATTTCTCAAACCATCGACGTACTGTACGTTCATTAACTGCATCCTTCCCAGACACTTTGTTGATATTTCGAGCTGTCTGTGCAGCATGGTTCCAAAAAGGAACTCATATCCGAAAATAAAACAAATTTTTCACTTATCCATGGTTTCAAAAAAATTGCTCTAAAAAAAATCTGAAAGATAATCACAAGCTAAGACGTGCGTTTGCAAGACTGAGGCTGTACCTTCACGATAGACATAAACGAAGAAGTGTCAAAGTGAAATGTCAGAGATCTCAAGGGTCAAACTTAGTACTTAAGCAAATTGGACATGTCATACTTATTTACTATACACCAGGTTTGAATTTGTATCATTTTTAACCAAATGGGCTCATGCTCTGCCTGCAGTTCTGCAACTTGCTTTTCTCACTTCATGTTGCAAGAATATTTATCGGTTCCTGCAAGGTCCAGCCATGCTCTCCTGAGCAGCGCCACCCTTGCCTGTTTGACACGATACCTCAGGTTTATGGGACCAGCCCCCTTTGGAGCAGAGGCTGTGGCCACGTCCTGCCACGGCAAATGCACCTCCAGTCAATGCCCCCTTTGTGCCTGGGCGCTTGTGGGTGGCCCCCTCAGGGTGAGTTCCTGGCAAGTGAGCTGTGGGTCGGAGGGTCTGAACACTGAAGTCTGAGGGACACCTCTGGGGAGGGTCTGTTTTCAGGCTCCGCAGCGAGACCCACTGCGTCCTGCTGCCTCCCGCTGCCTCCCTTCTTTCTGCTGTGACCTTTTGTTGGTTTCCCTCGAGGCACCAGAAGGCACTTAGCCGAGTGGGAACCGTTTTATTAGTTGAAGTTTCGAGACCTCTGAGTCCCCACTCCTCTTACGGTGAATCTGCAGGATTTACAGTAATAGTGGCGGCCGTGGCAAAGGACACTTCTGCATCCGGCTCCACACTAGGCCACGTTCTCTCATACAGTCCTCGCCAGGGCCCTAAGACAGTCTGTGAGCCCATTTGGCAGCTGGAAAGACTGAGCCTCAGAGAACTTAACTGTCCAGCTACTAAGGGACACAGTTGGGATTCAAGCCAGGGCTTGGCTCTGGGAGGTTTGCTCCTGACCACCGGGCACGCCGTGTGTGCGCTGACTGATCCAGACCAGACTCGGACACACAGTTACGACCCAGAAAGGGGCCCAGCCAGGGGGTCAGGGTCAGCTGCGACATTCCAAAGGGTGAGCCACTTGCCTTCCCGGCCCTGGAGGATGCTGACTTTGGGTCGCTGAGAGGAGGCAACACTTCTGCGAACCCAAATAGACAAAACGATGAAGCTGAGGGTGAGATAACGGACCCTTCCTCCTCCTGTACCGAGGACAGGGACCCTGCATTCCATCCGACCCCGTGGAGCCCAGGGCGGATACGGGACGAGGCTCACGGATAAATGACAGTTCCATGTGTCCAGCAACAAAACAACAAAACAAAATGACAAAACACCTTTCAACGTACCCCTGACAACCCAACAGGCCCCCGGCCGCCTGGGCTGCCCCTGGGAGACCTGGATTGAGGTACCTGAGAGATTGCTGACGTCTCCGCGGCCAGCCCCGAGTCTCCAGATGGCTGCCGTTCCACTTTCTCTGAACTGTTCATCGAGTGTTCCATCGAGGACTGTGAATTCTGCTCGTCAGAAGCGTCTGCAGGAACAGCAAGACGACAGAAGCTGTTTTCAGGCACGTGAAACGCAGAGCCAGATGGGCCAGATACTAAAAATACCCGCAGCTGGGAGTTCTGTGGTCAGGGTCTTGGGGGGCTGCGGCGGACTGCGTGTGGGTGTCTGGGGGCTGGGAGAAGCCTCTTGTTTATTTCTTAGTGACACTGTTGTAAGCAGCCAGGCCACACGCTGGCCCTGAGGTCCCCAGCCCTCTCCTGCATCCTGATTAGCTGCCACGTGCTCAGCCTGCAGGATGCTGTGGGCGCGAGCTGCGTGCATGCGGCGCCCCCTGGTGGCCCCAGCGTGCCCAACAATCATGGCTGAACATCCCTCCCTCCCGCCGGCCAAGGTGGCTCCGTCCTCTCTCCTTCCAGAGTCTGCCTTCTCCTCCTGGGGAATGTCAGAGGTACCTGGCCCTCTGTAAACATTTCTCTTAATAATATAGGTATTTTTCTGATTGTCAGAGCAATGACTGATCATTGCAGGAAAAAGAGGATACAGAAAAAAATAAAGTCACCTGTCACTCACGCTACCCAGAGACTCTCCCACTAATGTTTTAGAGGTTTTATTTTCCATCTTTCCAGGTTTTTCCTCCTACATGCATATAATATTCCCCCTTCCCAAACAGGCATCAGCACTGTTTGGGAAGAATTTTTCATGTCTGTAACAATTCTCTAAGTACCAGAGCTCACGAGACGGTGGCACTGTAGCCCCCAAGCCATCGGTGGATCTGACGGATCCGGGCATCTAGGCGATTTCTTGGGCCTCGGTCTCTCTGCTGCTTCACCCAAGGTTTCTCCAGCAGAAGGAGGGTACAGGCTGGAGGCGGAGGATGGGGTGGCAGCGGCTCTACCTAGAGCTTACCGGGCACAGAGCCGCAGACTCGCAAAAAGAGCAGCAAAATCCCACCGGGGCCCCAACCCCGTTACCCTGATTCTTAAAAAGCACACTCGGCTAATCCTGAAGAACGCCCGAGCAACCGAGCCTCACTTTCTGGGGCTTCTGAGGCAGAGAAATAACAAAGGGGAGGGAAAAAATCAAACCACGCAACGTGGGGCCAAGGGGAAGGGCTGAGACAGGCCGAGGCAGAGGACTCGGGGGCTCCTTCCAGGGCTGAGCAAGCGTGAGGGGCACTGGGAGCAAATGCTCGTCACTCATCAGACCAGGAGAACCGACCCCCGTGCGGGGGTCATGGCCGGGCCCTGCGCTGGCCTCTCGTGCCGCAGGGTGGGGGTCAGGTGCCTACAGCCCAGGGTGTGGAGGACACAGGGTTTGGAGACGGATCTGGGTTCCAACACTGCCCACACCACCTCTGCCAGACGAGGGCTCTCGGCCTCAGACGCCCCCGCAGGAGAGACAAGGTGGACAACGGCCACCCTGTGGAGTAGCCGTGAGGATGAAATGCAACGACAGGACAGACGCCCAAACAGCACAACCACCCCGGGCGGGAGTAACCGAGGGAGAATCTTGGACGTACTGAGCAAAGCTCCCCATAAACCTGAAATTTCTTTGATACTTTTAGTTTTACCTTTAAAATCCACGTTAATGACTGTACCTCAAAAAGTTAACACACGGTTATTCTAGGACCCGCCAATTCCCCTCGTAGGTGTGTACCCAAAAAATCTGAAAACTGGGACTCCAACAGATATTTGTGCACAAATGTTCCCGGCAGCGCTATTCACAACAGCCCGAATGTGAACGGACAGACAAGCAGACACACGTACAGTGGAGCATGATTCAGCCAGAAAAAAGAATGAGCCACTGACGCACGCCACGCCCGGACCTGGAAACCATGACGCCGAGTGAAGAAGCCAGACACAAAAGGCCACGTGTTGTAGGACTCCATGTACGTGAAACATCCAGAACAAGCAAATCCACAGAGACAGACAGTAGATTAGCAGTTGCCAGGGAATGCGGGAAGGAGAAATGGGGAGTGACTGCTAGTGGGTACATGGTTTCTTTTTGGGGTGATTGGAATGTTCTGGAATTAGAGGTGGTGGTTGCACAACCTTCTGAGTGTACTAAATGCCAGTGAACTGTTGTTCACTTAAAAGTTGTTAATTTTATGTGAATTTCATCTCAACAAAGAGGAAAAAAATCCATGTTGGTGTTACAGTCTATTTCATAACACATATATATCTGTTTTAACATAAACATTTAAAGTTTTCACTGACCTAAAAAATTTGCCACCTCTGTGGCTTTGCATCTGACCATAGTTCCTTTTCTGCTGGGCACAGCGGGCTCTCAGGAGTGGAGCCGGAGGTGGGTGCCCCAGTTGGAGACGGCCGATCGCCCAGAGACTCACGCCGACCCTCGCTGGGCGGAGAGGTGTCCGGCAGAGGCCTCCCCCGAGAGCCGGGCCGAGAGCTCAGCAGGAACTGGCCTTGGAGCTTGCAGAGTGCTCAAGGGCTCGAGCAGTGGCCGATTCTCTGAGTGCAGCGGTGCTGGAATTCACCCAGGGGAAATTATTTTCCTGGGGACTAAATTTAGTCCAGGGAGCTTGGACATTATGTCATTCCCTGAACTCACTCAGCAGTAAACAAGTTCAAAGTAAGGTCAACAGCTGGTGGCCGACCTGCCCTGTCCTAGCAGGCAGTGTGCACCCACCTGAGAAGGCCACGTGGGTCCATCCTTGTGCCCTCCCCGCAGGGAGCCGGGCGAGCCCGTGGCAATGGGCAGGTGGGTCCTGTCTGAGCAGCACTTGGGCAGCCGTGTGGGCCCAGGGGTCTGGGTTGGCCCACCTGAGTGCCAACACTTCAGCTTTTGGTGGTGGTGGCAAGGAGGGGTGGGTGGTAGTTAGCAAAATATGGCAGTTATGGGAGCATGAGCCTAAAATACAATTCCTGTAGCTGAGTTTTAACTTGCCCTTTACAGCAAAGGAGATGTAGACCCCGAACATGGGAGAAACAAGGCCACAGTCAGAAAGAAACCAGGATGGGAAAGAAGCCAGAATGTGGCTGCAGATGTGGCCCACACCACCCCCCAGCACCCCCAGAATCGCTCCCCTGGATCCCCAGACCCTTCCTATGCGCCAGGCTCCGGGCCAAGTGCCCACAAAATAGCCTTGGCAGTGGTCCCCCCACCAAGGACGGCAAGGAGGACACTTGCCTTGTCTGTGTCTACAAAAAAAATAGAAAAGTTAGCTGGGCATGGTGGTGTACACCTGTAAGTCCCAGCTACTTAGGAGGCTGAGGCAGGAAGATCACTTGAGCCCGGAGTTTGAGGTGGCTGTGAGCTGTGAAGACACCACTGCACTCTAGCCCTGCAAACAGAGCAAGACCCTTCTCAAAAAAAAAAAGGAAAGAAAAAGAAAAATCTTAATTTTCCTTTCAAATCTACAATAGGAAAAACAGTGATCATGGGGAAATACATGGCAACTGGGCCGGGCGCGGTGGTTCACGCCTGTGATCCTAGCACTCTGGGAGGCCGAGGCAGGAGGCTTGCTTGAGGTCAGGAGTTGGAGGTTGCAGTGAGCTAGGACGATACCACTGCACTCTACCCTGGGCAACAGACCGAGACCCTGTCTCAAAAAAAAAAAAAAGAAAAACAACAAACATGGCAACTGCCCTTTGGCCTCGGAGCTAGAGAGACAATAGGGAGTGGTAGGGAGTGATAACTGGTGACTGCAGGCCATCCCGCACTCCCTGGAGGAAAGCCACTTCTCTGCTCTAACTGGTTGCTGCCTCATGGAAAAGCAGGCCTAGTACTGCCAAATCAGATTTTTCAAAAGAATTCAGAAATCAACTCTATTTATTTATTTTTAATTTGTTGTAGAAAAAGAGTCTTACTATGTTGCCCAGGCTGGTCTTAAGCTCCTGGCCTCAAGCGATCCTCCAACCTTGGCCTCCCCAAGTTCTGGGATTAGAGGTACGAATCACCGTGCCCAGCCAGAATGTCCTTATTTTCAAAAGACCCATGCTGAAGTGTTTAAGGTGGAAATGCCCTCAAGGGTATAACTTACTTTCAAATGGTCACAAAAAAAAATGTTTACAGACAAAGCAAAAAAAAAAAAACCCCTCAAAAACCCAGTAATTGCCTAGTTCAGCTGGTGGATATACAATATTGTACTATTCTTTCAATTTTTCTGTAGAAATTCAAAATAAATACAAACACACACAGATATATTTGTATACACAAATACCACTCCCCAATCAGACCACTCCTTACCACTCCCTCTGTCCCCCCAAGTCCGACCACCATCCTCTCCCACCTGGACAAGTGCAGTAGCCCCTCCCTGGTCCCCCCGTTGTCGGTCCTCAATCCTTCACATCACGTCATGCAAACCCCAACGGCTCCCATCTCACTCATCATAAAAATGTGGGTCGGGTGGTAGCCTTAGGAGCCTCCCACGCCACAGGCCCTGCATCGTCTCTGACCCCGCTGTATTTTCCAGTCTCTCATGCATGCTCCTCCATCTATGCTGAGCACATGCCTGCCACAGGGCCTTTGCATGGCCCGCGACACTCTTCTCCAGATACACATTGGCTTACTCCTTGCCTAGTTGAGCCTCATCTGTGCTAACATCAGCTTCCCTGACGTCAGTGAGGCCGTGCCTGACCACCCTAAAATTGCAACACCCGCTGTCGTTCAGTAAGACTCCTCATTCTGCCTTCTCTACCATACTTGGCTTCCGAAGAATAGATTGTCTGCGTTTTTAATTGCCCATGAGACCATGTGCTCCAGGGTTACCTCTCATGGCAGGACCTCCTTGAATACCTGTCCCCCGACTGAAGGCTGGTGGAGGCCCCTGGGATCCCAGCCCGGGAAGGCACGTACCTTCAGCCCCGGGGTGCCCCTTCCCATCGGCCGGGGCCTCGTCCACCTTGGCTTCGGTGCCGTCGCCCGGCACGGCTGCAGTGGGCTCTGGAGCAGGGCTTGAGTTGCTGCTGTTCTCCTGCTTGATGGGGGAGGCGTCGGCTATGGAGCTTTGGTTGCTGTTATCGTCTGTGTGGGGGGAGCAGAACCAGAGGGTGAGATCCCGCAGCTGCCGAGGACAGGAGGGTTGGGGAGGCTCGGCTTCCCTGTGCCCCCGCGCCTGCAGCCTCATGGGACGCTCTCCTAGGAATAGGTCTGCATGCTCCCTCCTCCGTAGCGACCCACACCACCCAGGGCCACCCTGCACAGCCTGACCTCCTCCCACTCGCTCACTGGGAAGGAGCCCGTGTTTGGAGGCAGCCAGCCAGAGACAGCCTAACACATTTAAAATCCTTGGGGGACATCTGGGTGGGGAAACCAGACATCGTGCGCATCTGGCTGCGAAGCCACACAGAGGACGGCGCGGCATGGTCCGGGAGCGTTACTGCCAAAATGTCTCATCCGACTTCACCGAGCCTCCAGGCCAACTTCCACTTGACATGAAAACAAAAGGGAGAGAACAAGACAGCGGCAGAAGGTGGGACGTTCCAAAGGACACTTGGTCTGATCTCTTCAAGTTAATATTGTTTTTATTAAAAAAGGAAAAGAAGAAAAAAAGAGGGGGGAGAAACAGGGAAGGTTACCGTAGAATAAAAGAAAGCTAAGAGGCCCGACGACTACACGTGATGTATGGAAATGATCTGCATCCTGTCTGGAATGTGCCAGCTGTAACATTTGGGAACAAACTGAGGGATTTGAATACGGTCTGGATTTTAAAAGCTATTAAGGAATTGTTAATTCTGTTAGAAATCACAGTGGTACGGTGGGCATAGAGAAATGTTATTTTTTAGCAACGCACGCTGAAATGTTTAGATATAGACTTAAATGTCACGATGCAGAGAAATTTACTTTAAAATGCTTTAGTGCAGGTTGCATACAACTGTCAGAACTCCCTGAACTTTACATTCAAGAGCTGCGAATATTTTTAATGTAAATTAGACTTCAATTTGAAAAACTTAACACATTAAAAAAATAGACGATGGGAATACAACATCATGTTCACGAAAACCAAGGCGTGGGGTACACGGGGTTCATCTCACTACTGTTCTCCACAATGAAACGTCTCATGATGAAAAGAGGGAATTGTTGATTGGCCGGTGGCATTCAGGCTTGGGCTGGGGCAGAACTGGGGGGCCTGGGGGCCCCTCTCCTTGCCTTGCACCCCCTTCCAGGGCACCGAGAGTCAGTTTAAACTGCAGATACCCAAGTGGAGATTTCAAAAATACCACCACACTCTGGCACTGTCTTTCTAGGCCACGCTGCACCTGGGACCGAGCCATTTTTGCAAAATGAGAGAGAGACACCCCAACAGGCCCGGCACCAGCTACACGCCAGGCGCCGGGCAGGAGCATTTACAATCACCTCGTTTAATCCTCCCGACGACCTACCAGAAAGGTGCTGCTACCACCTTCACTCTACGGAGGGGGGAACCGAGGCTAAGAGCAGCAGAGCCGCGGGCTCAGCTGCCTGGCCCGGCTCCCATCCCCGAGCCGCTCCTCCACCTCCACCTGCCCGGGAAGCACCAGGCAGTCAGGCAGCCCCAAATGGGTAAATTGGGTCTTATTTTAAGCATACTCTGGGGTGCTTGTTACACAAAAGCATCCTCTTGTCAATTCTGGAACTTAACGGGGGGGAGAAAAAAAGGATGTGCGCTCTCCTGATTTATACTTCAAGAAAATCCAAACTTCTTTTCCATGCCAACGTACGTGGGCAAGAAGCTCGACCCACAGGCTCCAGCCTGAGGTTGTGTTAATTAATGACAATAAGCACTAATGCTTAACGAGTTAGCTGTCTGAGGCCGGCCTGGTGACCTGGTAACAGGGTGACCCTGACACTTGGGCTGACAGCAGCTGAATTTTGTAGATTAAAGGGCCAAATGTGTGCACCCTCTCCCGTCACCTCCTGCTGAGCCCACCCTCCCACCGGAAGCCTTCCAGAAAACTCTTCCCCACCCTGCGCGTCTCCACACCCTGCAGTGTGGCGTGGTTTTGGCCGCACATGTACGAAAATGGAAATGATACTCAGAAGGTGAACAGGGCTCCCGCGTCCAGGGACCTGGTTTGTCAGGCATCCTAGATTTTTCTGGAGCATGTGTCCAGGCATAAACCTGCACTCTGCCTTTGAAGGACTGCGTGACGGTCTCATAAAGCTGAGCTGTTAACGTGCCACGGCTTTTAAAGGATCATCTTGACTTTATGCAGTCGGCATGACCAGCCCCATTCTACAGATAAAACCGCACAAACCCGGAGTCTAGTGGCTAAGCAAGCAGCCCAAGATCACACGGCTGGGGGAGGTCCTGGGAGAGTTAGGACTTGAACCCAGGTGGGATCCTGACCTCACCTGTAATTCTGTGAGTATGATCCAACCGAAATCCAGAGCCGGGCCTGGGGTTCCCTCGATCCCCACAGAGGAAGGGGAGCTGAGCGGTGCAGGGAGACAAGTCACATCCCAGCTCATGTATCTATTTCTGAAAATCAAATGTACCCCAACTATGATCCTACGGCCAGCTGGGGGGCTCTCTTGACACGTCAACCAGCAGCCAAGCCCCACTGCGCTTCCCCAGCATTGGAAACCCCAGCAAACCAACATTCCTTTCTGATTCCCTTATTTTGCTACTTATCTGATACTGCCTCGTTGTACCGAAGGCTCGGGCTGGTCACAAGTACAAAGACCTTGGAATTAGGATCGAGAGGTGGAAAAAGGCGGGGGTTGCAAGCTCCTGTCCCAGCAGGCCAGGCAGGTGACAAAATGAGGAGGTGGAGCCAGGTGGGCCTGGAAAGGCCACACACTTCCCCCCACTTAAGGGACACTGCTTGGGCTTCACACAGCCCCTGCCTCGAGGGAGCACCCGCTCCGGGAAGCCAGACTGGATTTCTCAGAGGACGGCAGTAACACAGATTTCCTGATTCATAAATATCAGAAGCTAACTCAATTTTTAAAAAAACTTCAGGTTTGAGTCTCTGAGGCGGTTTTCCCTGGAGGGGCAGGGACAGGGGTCCAGGAGGCCATCTGGAGGACCACAGCGACTGGCTGGGAACACTCTATGTTCTGACCTGGGTGGGTCAGACGGATGGGTGCGGCTTGGGAACATTTCATGGGGCGCCACATTTATGGTTTGCGCCTCTCCTCTCAGTTAAAATGGTAAAAAGAGAACCAAACACCAGCAACGGGAAACAATGGCGGACAGCTACGGCACCGATGCGGATTTGATGGGTGGGACGCTGGTTACAACTTCCGTTTATTTTTTGGTGTTTTGTTGTTGTTGTTAAAAGACAGGGTCTCACTATGTGGCCCAGGCTGAAGTGTAGTGATCATGGAGCATTACAGCCTTGGACTCCTGTGCTCAGTCGATGCTCCTACCTCAGCTCCCTAAGTGGCCAGGACTACAGGTGTGTGCCGCCGTATCTGGCTAGGTTACAACTTTTGAAATAAGACAGCAAACGGAAGTTAGGCTGTGGCTGTGGCTGTGGAAGGGCAGTTCCCATGGTCCTGGGGTGATTAACATGAAGTCAGAAATCTGGTTTGGAGCTTCCCAGCAGCCAAAGCAAAATGGGAAACGGAAAACAGCCATTTACATAATTTATATTTCCCTAAGAGGGAAAAAGAAACGTACACCCCCAAAAATCTTCCTGGGCGCACATGGGGCCGAGGGAAACATCTCTGGTGAGGTTCTGTCATTGGCTGAGGAGAGGGTCTTATTTTTATGTTTTGGGGTTTATTTTCTATTTCTTGGCTTGGTGCACTGGGAAAAGAAACTTCCTCCCCTGCTTCTCCTTGGCACAGAGGCCTCCTGGTCCTGCCCAGCCTCCTACCCCTTGCCTGGAATGTGAACAAACCTGCTGAGAAACAAAAACACAACCAAGTGCATCACCAAGGCCCAGGGACCTGCAGGAGAGGCCGCAGACGAGGGGGGCGCTCACCATGCATGTCCATCATCCCTGGGGAGGAGCTGTTCTCTGGAGTGGTCACCTCTGAGCCGCACTTCTCATCTTTGCCTTTTTTCTTATTCTTGTTTTTCTGGAGGGGAAAATGGAGCAGATACCAAGTCACCAAATCACGTGTGTGCACGCTCACTCGAGCCCCTGGGGAGCAGTATGAATATTTTATTCCATCAAATCCGCTTGGAGCCCCCAAGCCCCTGGAGGGTTCTCCTTGGCCAGCATTTGAACATGTTCCATATCGGGCTGCGCTCAGGGCCTTGCCCACTTTTGAATCAAAGATCCCCACAGCAGGGAGGATTCTGAGGCTGGCCCAGCTCCTGCAAAATGAACCTGCCTGTCTTCGGGGCTGGCCCCAGCAGCATGCAGACACCCTGGCTGGCAGCAATTGCCTCCTCCTCTAGGGAGCGTATCTGGGGAAAAGGCCCCCATCGGCCCAGAGCAGGTACAAAGTGATGCCAGGTGAGCCACGGCAAAGACAGAGGTCACTCAGTTCCACTAGCTTCGGGCCCCCTGGGGCTGCCTTTCTCAAAGCGTAGTAAGCCGACTTCCAGCAAAAAAACCCAGGGGGGGTTAAGGAGGGAAAACCCGGGGAGGAAGGAGGGATGAAGGGGATGCTTTCTGTGAGCCATTCCATTTTTTACAATTGGAATAGAATCAGTTGGAAACAATCTAACTGTGTCCATCGGTAAGAGACTCATTAAATAAATTATGACACATTCATCCAACGAAATCCAATGCAACAATTACAGAGAATAAAGCAGCTCTTCACGTATTAATATGGAGTGATCTGCAAAAATATTAACGTATCAAAATATTTCAATATCGCCACGATGTACAAAAGAAAGGTGCAGGACATGTGAATGCCACCATTAGTGGGAAGCAAAGAGTATGTATTTGCACACGTGTCTGTGAGCCCAGGCTCCCTCTGGAAGGATAAACAAAAAATACAAAGAAATTAATCGGACAACTAAAAATACATAGAAAAAACTAGCCTGGCATGGTGGTGCATGCCTGTAGTCCCAGCTACTCGGGAGGCTGAGGCAGGAGGATCGCTTGAGCCCAGGAGTTTGAGGTTGCTGTGAGCTAGGATGATGCCACGGCACTCTAGCCTGGGCAACGCAGTGAGACTCTGTCTCAAAAAAAAAAAAAAAAAAAACTAGTAACACCAGTTGCCTCCAAGGAAGAGAACTGGGCTGGGGTGGGGGTGTGTGTGGGGACAAGACAGATTTACAAAAAGACATACAGTCACAGAGCAACGTCTGAAGAATACACACAAATCTATAGAGACAGAACCCAGACTGGTTGTCACCGGGGCAGAATAGCGGGGAACGGGGAGTACCTGCTAACAGGCACAAGTTTTCTTTTCAGGGTGATGACAATGTTCTGAATTATAGTGGTGATGGCTGCACATCTACGAATATACTAACATGGCACTGCACACTTTGTAAGAGTGAATTTTACAGTACATGAATCATCTTAATTAAAAAAACGGTTTTTAAAGTGACATCTGAATTTTGTACCATGTTTTACCTATTTGAAAGTTTGAAATTTTCAAGAGTTCTAAAATAAAAAATTGGTGTAATCATATAGTCATTGGGTGTTTAAAACAATAAAAAGCTATCCCCCCATAGTGCAGATCCCTGGCCCCAACCCTCTAGAGATTCTGATTCAGCTGCCCAGGACGGGGCCCAGGAATCTGCATTTATCAGGATGCTCAGCCAGGCCGGCACGGCTGCCCTAGAGGGAAGCTGGGGGATGGCGTACTGCACATCACGGCTCAGAGAAGAAAGGGGAATTAGCACTTCTCCAGCACCGTCTGCACAGCCAGCACCATGCTAAGTGTTCTCCGTGGTGATATATTGCCTTTGCGCTGTTGCAAAAACCCCACGAGCTGGATATTACTGCTCCGTTGCACAAAAGAGGGAACTAAGGCCCAGCAAGGTGGGGTCACCGCCCAGCATCACAGGTTACTCGGGGCTGGTGTGTCCAGCTCCAATCCAATGTCCTTTGCCCAGCCTGGAGCTGCCCTGTCCTTCCTGACGGCCCATATATAACGCTTTCCCCTTGATCATATTCCATTTGGCGTGTCCCTAATGTCTGTTTCATGCTATTCTATAATTATCTTCCCCCAACGAGATTAGAAATTCCTTGAGAGCAGGGACCACGTCTTCTCAAATGCAACCGGCGTTTCTACAACACCTAATGATGTGCAAGGCACAGACATGGGCCGGGGCCAGGCCTGCCTTCGAGGAGCCCGGCTGGGCTGCTCTTCCTCTGGGGAGGCGGAGACAGACCCAATCTCTGTCCCTTTGGGGAAGGCAGCCCCAGTGGCTCCATGACCCCCAGACAGAACCAGAAGGGACAACAAATGCCTAAGTTCTCAGCCCAGCACCAGCCCACCCAGCAGCAAGCATGTGACCACAGTGTCAAGAACTGGCTGAGAACAGGCCTGGTGGCTCAGGCCTGTAATCCCGGCACTGTGGGAGGCTGAGGAGGGAGGATTGCTTGAGGTCAGGAGTTCAAGGCCAGCATGAGCAAGAGCAAGACCCCATCTGTACAAAAAATAGAAACATTAGCCAGGTGTAGGCGTGCTCGCCTATAGTCCCAGCTACTTGGGAGGCTGAGGCAGGAGAATCATTTAGAGCCCGGGAGTCTGAGGTTGCTGTGAGCTATGAAGACCCCACTGCACTCTACCACCCAGGGAGACAAAGTGAGACTGTTTTAAAAAAAAAAAAGGATGGGGCTGAAGCTGAGCCCAGCCTAGAGACCCAGGTAAGTAAAGACAGCGGAGGGAGGCTTAGCCCCATCTTACAGAAGAAGCTGGACCCGCTGCCACCCCTCAAAACTCACGAGACATGACCACGTCACTTCTAAGAGTGACTGGAGCCATGTGGGTTAGTCTGAGTGAGCAGAGAACGCAGTCTGGGCAGGAGGAACAGCTCAGGCAAAGCCTGTAGGAGGGACTGTTTTGGGTTTTGACTGGAGATGAGAGCAGCTGACCCGGGAGCTGCAAAGCTGGAGAACCCTGGCACTGGGGGCAGCTGCCGGCCATCCAGCCCTCCCCGAGCCAGCACAGCCCCTCGAACACCCCCCAGTGGTGGCAGTCAGGATGGCTCCGCCCCTCCTGGAACCTTCCGGGAGCTCCTGCCTGGACGAATGCCTGCACCAGGCTCTCTTACTCCTGGGGGCCTCCTGCCACCAGCAGCCCCAGCCACCAGAAGGGTCTCCAAGAACAGAGAGAACACGCACTTTGGAGTTAGACAGACATGAGCTGGATTCCCGGCTCGACGATAGCTGTGTGACTCTAGGGAAGTGACTTCGCCTCTCTGAGCCCGTGTCGTCACTTGTACAGAGGAGAGTTAAAAAGATCAACTCCACCGACTCAGTGTGAGAAGTAAATGAGACGATGCATGGGAAGCATTAGCACGGGGCCCATAGACGGCCAGGTGCTCAGGAGCAGAGCCACACTGTGGGTGTCACCATGCCTGCCCCCGGCTGTGCTGCCTGGGGCCTGAGGGGCTCTCAGCCCAGAAGACACAACTTGCAGGGACACTCCCCACCTCTCTGAGGGCTGGGCTCTGGAGAGGGATGGGGACAGGTCCAGCAGCCTCTCCAGGCCTAAGCTGGGTCCTTCTGCTTCCCAGGGGGCATCAGCCCCAGGGTCCCATGGGGGTAGATGACAGCAGGAAGTCCCCTTTCCCCAGATGGCCCTAGCCCAGGGGACCAGCCCCGCATACTCACATCGTCGACCTTTGGCTCTGTCACAGGGACCCACTTGTAGATTCGTAGGGACGTGTCACCAACGGTCACCCACTTTTTCTCCCTGTGGAGGACAAGGAAGAGCCCGTTAGCAGGGGTTTATGGGGCAGGACCCCGCTCATCTCTGCAGGGACACAGGCCACACTCCCTCGGGGCCGCTGTGGCCGCAACTCTGCTGCTGCTTGGCCCAGGGCGTAAGAGAACATGCTCTGGATCACACACGTGGGCTTGCACCCAGCTCTGCCCTCGCTAGCTGGCCCTAGGCAAGTCGCACCACCAATCTAAGCCTCAGTTTCCCCACCTGTCATACCACACAGGGTCACTGACTATTCTGGGCTGTTGCTGGAAGGAAATACTTGGTAAGGGTGAGGGAAGGGGAGGGTAGGGGCTGCCGCTGTCAGGAGGATCTCTGCGGATGATGGAAGTCAGGCCCTGTGAAAATGCCAACGCCACGGAACCAGCAGACTCTGGGCAGCAGAGAGGGCTTCAGGCCAGTGGGGCATTTCCCCTGTGGGGAGTGGGGGTCTTTACCAAGGACACACAGGGCTCCTCCTGCCCTCCTAGCGAAGCTTCTTGGGGCAGGGTAGGGGAGGCAGGGCAGACACAAGGGGCTGCCCCTGCTCTGCCGGCGAACGCCCTTCAGAGCGGCCAAGGGAAGCTGCAGAGCAGCGGCCTCGGCCTGAAAGGAGCTCGCCCGGCCTGGGCCTGTGGCAGCAGCCCATGCCGCTCGGTTCAGGGCTCCCGGTGGCCCTGTCTGCACAGCCGCCCCGGCTGCATTCCAAACTCCTGAAGGACAGAGGCCAGGCTCCAGCTGCGAGAGGCAGGTCTATGGACCAGAAGGAAAGGCAGACACGGCCTTTCACTCAAGGTAATAATTAGCACACTGTCCGCCACCGCCCTGCTCCGGGCCATCATGGTTTTTAGATTATCGCTACAGCACCCGCCTTCTGCCCTTGACTCCTGCAGTGGGACGGACTGAGTCCCTTCCAGCCACACACACCCAGTGGCCACACTGGAGGGGACCAGGGTTCTGCCGCCCAGGCAGATGTGCGAGGTCACCAAGCGGCTGCTAACCGCCCAGTGAGGAGACTGGTGGCTCGGAGGGACCCACGATGGGCTGTTGGGGCCAGACGCACACCTGGTGCCCAGGTGGCATGTTACAGGTCCCCCACCTCGTCACCATGGGGGCTTCTGGGAGTCCAAGCACACTCAAAACCAGACAGCCGAAACCACAGACACCTCCACCCACAAAACACTGCCCGCTAGGGTCCTTCACGTTCCCTGCCAGAGGACGCTAGGGCCCGACTTTTCTTATTATATTAATGACCGTTTCCAGTGCCTTCTATGGGTCAATATTGTGCATACTTGCTCTAATCTTTACATAACCTAGTGGCAGGAAGTGTCAACTTCTCCATTTGACAGACAAAGAAACTGAGGCATAGGGAGGCAAACTCCTGCACTATTAGGAGCAGCCCCTCTGGCCCTCAAGCCCTGCCCCTTTTAGCCCAGAAAGAACAATGGAGGCCAGGTGCAATGGCTCACGCCTGTAATCCTACCATTTTGGGAGGCCGAGGCAGGAGGCTTGCTTGAAGCCAGGAGTTTGAGACCAGCCTGAGCAAGAGCAAGACCCCGCCTCTACAAAAAATAGAAAACTTAGCTAGGTGTGGCGGCGCAAGCCTGTAGTCCCAGCTACCCAGGAGGCTGAGGCAGGGAGATCTCTCGAGCCCAGGAGTTCGAGGCTGCAGTGGGCTATGATGATGCCACTGCACTCTAGTCCGGGCTACAGAGCGAGACTCTGTCTCAAAAAACAAAAAGAATGAAGGAAAGGCAGGTATCTAAGTCACCACCTGCCTGTCTCCAACCTCCTGCTGGAAGAATGGACAAGCCACAATGCCAATCTTTCACCTCCTCCATTACAAATAAACAGAAGGTTCCTAGAAGGGACAGGGCATTCCCAGGAACAACCTCAGTGAAGACAGAGCAAGCATCATAATAGCCATTGTGTACCACGGCCTTACTACATGCCAGGCTTCACGCCAAGCACTGTATTTACACGCCCTCTCTGAGACTCCCAATAAGCTACAAGAGAGGGACAGTTGTCACTCCACTTTATAGATGAAAAAACAGGGGGCCCAGAGAGGTTATACCACTAGCTTGTGATCACACAGATTGTAGGTGGCAGAACAAGGATTTGGCGCAGGCTCGGAAACCTGAGCCCACCTTGTGCTATTCTGTCGCCCATGAAAATTAAGAACCCATTCTAGGGAGCACACGGGTAATGGGAGCTGGAGGGAGCATGACAAATTGCTAGAATCCCACGCAAATGGCCAAAGCCACTCACTACACACGAGCCCTTGCCTCGCTTTCTTGGCCTGGGCCCCAGTAAATCAACACATTTGAGGTTTGATTGTGTTAAAAAAAAAAAAAAAAGAGTAATTGACTTGCAATACACAGGACACCTTTCAGGGCAGAAAGTGTGCCAGAGATCCGGGCTCTGCAGGCGTGAACGAGCCAAGATGAAGGTCTGAAGTTGCAGCTGCTTCCCTGGGAGGCTCCAGGCCACGGCAGGCCACAAGCTGAACGCAGCCAGGTTCTCGTGCTTCCCTTTGCCCCAGCTGGAGACCCCTTGCCAAGTCCCCAAGTCACCCCAGAGATTGGAAATTGTTCTTCAGTTGCATTTCTAGCTGCGGATGTCGAGGGGGCTCCGAGGTGAGCTGGACCTCGGCTCAGCCAGCAGCCATCCAGCAGGAGGGGGCCCCCGGCACTCAGGGCAAGTCACCGAGCGAGCACAGGGAGGACAAAATGGGATTTCACAGACACACCAGGTAGGCGTACGGGCTCAGGGGAGCAGATGAGATTTCCAACTGTCTCCCCAAACCCATCACCCCAGAACACACAGCACCCCCATGAGGGTTTTAAGCTGCACCCATTACCTTATACCTGGGGTGGCAAACAGCTGGCCAACAGGCGTGTTTTGTTTGGCCTGCATAGTTCTGTTCTTTTAAAAATTTGAATCTGCTGTCAAACTTTCTTTTTTCTCTTTCTTTCTCTCTTTTTTTTTTTTTTTTTTTGAGAAAGGGTCTCACTCTGCCACCCAGGCTAGAGGCAACGGCATAATCGCAGCTCACTGCAACCTCAAACTCCCGGGCTCAAGCAATCCTCCTGCCTCAGGCTCCCCAGTAGCTGGGACTACAGGCACACGCCACCACATGTGGCTAATGTAAAATTTTTTTCATAGAGCTGGGGTCTTACTACATTGCCCAGGCTGGTCTCAAACTCTTGGTCTCAAGCTATGCTCCCGCCTTGGCCTCGAAAAGTGCTAGGATTACAGGTGTGAGCCACTGCACTTAGCCTCTACTGCCAAACTTAAAAAAAAAAAATCAGACTCCTCATGAAAATCCAGATTTTTGGCTACTCTTGAAAACACGATCTGGGGCCACATGCCCCGAGGAGTGACAGCTTGCTCCAGATGGGCCCCTTGGCTCCCTCTCATCCCCCAATTTTTGCCACCTGGAGGCACCGGGGCTAGAACTCACCATGACCACCAGGCTGCACTCAACCTTGCTGCGAAGCTGCCCCTGGGTGCACCCTGAGCCCTCCTGCCTTGATGGCCCCTCGTAGTCAGCCTGGCTTCAATACCTCTCTTTTCCCATTAGACTTGTGCTCCTGGGATGAAAGGACAAAATGAGGTCCCGATGTAAGAACATAGCTCCAAACGCTCCTCCCCGGCATGGACTCCTATATAAACTACAAGCACCTATCCCAGATTCTCTAGGCCAAGGCCATTGGAAAAAATTTCCAATGTTTTCCTGGGTCCAAGTCCAAGGAGACCATTTTGAGGTTGCTCAGCGCCCAAGAGGACTTTGCCAACTCCCAAAGAGAGTCACTTTGTATTTACTCCTTGGGGCTAGTCCCTGAAACCTCAGGCAGCCTGGCCTATGGCTGGCCTCATCCTAACCAGGCCCAGGTCCAGCTGACCTGCCATACACCCGGCAGGAAGGTACCTGTGATGAAACCCCCAGAGGAGCGAAAGTGAGGCCTCAGGCTCAAACCTCCACCTCTCCCAGGGATGGGTGGGAGGTCCCCCAGCCTCTCAGTCCCCACAGCAAGTCACCAGGAGAATCCTTAGGCCAAGTGCCACAGGGTCCCAGGCCTAAGCCTACTTGGCAGCTCAAGTCTTTGTCTTCCACCAACGACTCCCCCTTCCCCTTCTCTTCTCCACCCATGTTGGGCCTCTCTAAGCCTGGCCCAGTTTCCCAAAAAGAGTCCCACCATTTTGTTTTCCCTTCAGCCATCTTCTGGCTGCCTCGCTCCTCCAGCCTGTCTTGCTGGGACACCAGACAGAAAGGACAGGAGAAACCACCTGGCCACTGCAGACGGGGAGGACCACAGCTAGCTGCTGGCTTTTTCCAGGGTTGGTGGTGCAGGGGGCGGATTTTTAGGGGTCACAGGGACACAGGAGAATACCACCCTAGGATTATGGGACTAAGAGTTACACGAGACACCCCAGCTCTCCTCTGCATAAAATGCAGGATGCCCAGTTAAATTTGAATTTCAGAGAAATGAATGTTTTTAGCATAAGTATGTCCCAAATAGTACATGGGACATACTTACACTAAAAAGCATTTATGATTTTAAAAAATGTCATTGTTTGTCTGAAATTCAAATTTAACTCAGCATGCTGTATTTTTATTTGCTAAATCTGGCAACCCCCTGTGCCAGCCGGTGGTGAAACTCATGGTCGGTGGCCACACGGTTAATAAACAACCCAAAGCCTCAAGGGCTGACTGGAAGACCCATTCTGTGGGTACAGCCATGGCAAGATTCGGCTTCTTCAGGGCTGGAGAAACCCCAGGCAATAGAGCCATGGCTTTTTGCTTAGAAGGGGCAAAAGGAAAAAAAAGAAAAGAAAGGAAAGAAAAAGAAAAAACAAGAAACAAACAAACAAAAAAATCACAGAGCCAAGTTTCTACAAAGTCCACCTTACAACATCTAACGAGCGCTCCTGTGCGCAGGGTGAGGTGCTTTCGGAGCCATGACCTTACTCATCCTCAACAGCCCTAGGAGAGGAGGAAGCAGCACAGAGCCTCTTGTTGCCATGGTTAGAGAAGTGACAGGGTTTGCCCAAGGTCACAGCAAGGAAGTGAACTGGAAGCCCAACCAAGAGATCCCAAAGCCTGAGGTCCTTAGAGGACAAGGTGTGTCAAATGCAGGCAGGGGCAGAGACACATCCCCCACCCAACCACAGGCTCAGCCCTCGTGGGCCCAGCCACGGAAGGCCTCCAGGCTGGCTGCTGTGAGGCCCACAGGGCAGAAAGCCCCGTCTCTCCATCTGCCCTCCCTGCAGAGCAGCTGGCCGCCCTGCGGGAGCAGCTGTCAGGGTGCAAGAGCCTCTGCCCAGCTGGGAACCTGGGGCAGGAGGCTCCACCACGCCTCCTGGAGCAGAGAAAGGCAGCTTGATGGGGCCCCTTTCTAACCTACCGCTGGTGACAGAAGGGGCCCAGGCACGGACACCAGCTCTTTCTTTGCACAGGGGCTGACGCGGGGAGGGGGCCAACTCCAGCCTTCCCACTGGCAATCCCACAGGACAGGGGCTGCGGGTTGCTTTCCAGTGTGTGTTTTGGCCTGCAGCAGTTTCTGCCATTTTTAAATGGCTCCGGTCAGGCACTGGGCGCCCTGCGCACCAGGGGAGCTCCCAAGGCACCAACGACTTGGATCTCAACTTTGGAAAGCCTCCCCTTCTCACGGTTCTGAAAATTCTTTGTCCCACTGGAGCCAAACCCAGCCCACGGCTGGGCATCCAGCCATCAGACATCCCTTTCCATAGGAGGCCCGGGAGCACGTGGACTTTATTGATTTTCCTCTTGCCTTTTTTGTTGGATTTGACTCCGAAAGGACAGCTAACTTGTGACACCGCCAGACCGGAGGCTCGCCCCCAGTGGCTTTTAGAGACCCAGGCGTTACTCAAGAAATGACACCCCCCCAAACATAAACATACCCTGCCCCCGGGGCCTGCCCAGTTTCCAGGCTTTAAATAAGGAGTCAGGACGAGCCCGCGGGCGCTGACAGTCGGGGATAACGTCGCGCCTGCTCCTCTGTCTCCCGGACCCCAGTGAAGCCGTGGGAAAAAAAATAATAAAGTTGAAATCAGGGAGCTAGGAGTTTTCAACAAGTCTGACCCAACCCGGCGATCTGCTCGCGCCTCGGGCCTGGCCCGGGGTCCGTTTCCGCGGCGGACCCCGGCGAGGCCGTGGAAATGTTCGATCGTATTAATTACAACAAGGCCACGTCGGACAGGAGCTAATTTGAGCTTGAAAAACACGCACGGCCGACACCGAAGCTCCTTTCCTCCGTGCAGAGAACAAAAACAAGGGCTCTCTCCGCAAAACAAACACGAGCTCCCGGCTTGGAAAGGCAGACGCGGCCCAGGACCGGTTTCTGGCCAAAATCATCGGCGCGCCCGACCCCCGCGGCCCGGGAAGCCGGTTGCGCGGGGTGGGACGTGGGTAGCCCGCGCCCCTTCCTCCCGGCGCTCGCCCCCATCTTCCTTCCTCGCCGAGAGCCCTCGCTCCAGGCAGCCCAAAGCGCTAAATTTAAACGGCTCGCGCTCTGCAAACTCCGCAGACTCGAGGGCGCCGGGCCGGGAGGCGGGGAGCGGCGGGCGGCGGGGCAGGCGCAGGGAGGCCGGCGCGGGCCGGGGCGCGGGGCCGGCGCTGTGCCGCCCGGGGCGCGCGGGGAGGAGGCGGCGGCGGCGGCCCGCTCGGTGCCTGCACAATGGAGCTCGCGCTCTCCCCGCCGCCGCCGGCATTGCGGCCCCGGCGCGCGGGAAGCCGCTTTCATGTGACTTGCACAGAACGAAATGGCTTCTGGGGCCGGCCCCGAGCCCCCCTCCCGGGAGCCGGGCGCCGCGGCGGGGGCTGCCCGTCGCTCCAGCCGCCCGGCCCGGGCGCCCGCCGCCTCCGGGCTGCCGCCGTCACCGCCGCCGCCGCGCCAGCTCCAGTCGCCTTTGGTCCTTCAAGCTCTCACCGCCCGGGAGAAGCTGTGCTGGCGTCGGGTCCCGCAGGGAAACGCCCGCCCGCCCTCGCTAACTCCGGGCCCCGCGGCCGGGCGGCCCGGGCGCTGCGCCCCGCGGCTTTTTGTATCCGCTCCCGGGCTCGGGGCGG